GCAGGAATGAGCAAGCAAAGCTAAATGAACTGGACAAGTGAGGAAACAAGAGGCTTGAGAGTACCTGCAGTCCATGAAGAATTGTACACTTTTTCATTATTGTTACATGTTTAAGTTACCTATAAACTTACTGTAGTGGTTTACATATTAGAAAAGGCAAAATACTTCTTTACATATCACATAAACTCCTACTCTTCAGATGAGTAGGAAGAGTTCATGCTTTCAATGATTTAATACTATTTATTTATGAAGTGAAACAATTCCCTGTTTTGCTGCTGACCTATTGTTTGAACTTGTTTGTATGTGGTTCATTTTCCTCTGTAAAAATGAAGACAATCCTGCGGCATTGTGTTGTGGTGTGAACATGTTTGAATGAAAAGATGTATATCTATTCCTGTTGTAGTTTATGTAATAAGAGAGTTACTGTTGTACTGGTGTCCAGGCGTTTAAGTGATAAGGTGGTTTGCTCGCTGGAAATATTGTATTGCACATGCAAAGTTTCATGATCAAAATGAGGCAAATTATGAAACAAGATGTCAGGATCTGAAGCCTACTTCCACTTCATTTTGAAAATACGTGCTTAGCCACGTGTGGCAACAGTGTGAGAATACAGAACGTGTGTGGGTGCAATCCTAGCTTAAATTCAGCCAACCCTGAAATAAACATAGGACACCCTCCCCCGCGTGCCCCTCAAAAAATAATCCGATTAGTTCTGGCTTGAGTTTAGGATGGTGTACAATATGAATTAAAGTAGAAGACATCTGCTTGCAGTAGTGTGTGTGCACTACTTCATCTCCTGTGGCTGTACAGTATCATTTTTTAAATCTGCTGCAGATTAAACTTCATGCATTTAGCACACTGTGTTCTGAGACAAAATAGAATAAATGCAAAGAGGAAATCTTTTATGCTTTTTGGCAACAGATAGCCAAGAGGTAATAGCCCAGCCACCACTTATTACTAGTTTTGAAGACTGCACAGTGATTTCCTCCAGTTAGGCTTTTGTTCTGAGTCTCAGAACACTGGACAGGTGTGGATGGTTTCGTGTCTGTTTGACGCTGTTGAACTTTCTTTTGTAACAGGTGATGTCATTGTAGACATAAATGGAAGTTGTGTCCTTGGCCATACCCATGCAGATGTTGTCCAGATGTTTCAGCTAGTTCCTGTCAATCAGTATGTGAACATGACTTTGTGCCGTGGTTATCCTCTTCCTGATGACAATGAAGACCCTGTGGTAGATATAGTGACAGCTACACCTATTATCAATGGACCGCCTGTGACCAAAGGAGATGTTTCTGTGACCAGCCAAGATCTAATAACAGGAACAGTTGTGTTGGACCAGAATGGAAAAATGGGCCCTATGTTGGTCAATGGTCGTCTGAATGGCCCTTCCATGGATGCAGCTGAGCAGAGGATCTCTCTTGCGTCTTCGGGAGGCTCTCAGCCAGAGCTCGTCACCATTCCTCTAGTCAAAGGCCCTAAAGGCTTTGGGTTTGCCATTGCAGACAGTCCTACAGGACAGAAGGTGAAAATGATTTTAGACAGCCAGTGGTGCCAAGGCCTTCAGAAAGGGGACGTAATCAAGGAGATTTGCCATCAGAATGTACAGAGCTTGACACATCTGCAGGTGGTGGAGGTACTGAAGCAGTTTCCAGTAGGAGCAGAGGTGCCACTGCTTATCTTAAGAGGAGGTATATACGTAAATTTACAGTTGTCATATATGGTTATATGCTTTTTAAAAGTCACTTTTTAGTGTGATATCTAAATCATGTCCTGTCTTGACAGCCAAGTAGCAGCTTATAATATCTCTGAGCTGTTACATTCTAAGTTTAATTTATACCCCTGAGTATTTGAGGTGAGAGCATGTTGCTAGGGTTTGGGTGTTTTGTTTTGTTTTTTTTCCAAAATTTTATTGGGATATATTTGTGCACTGTCTCTTCCAATTATCTGGGGAGTGCTAAAGCAAAAATGTAGTCTCTAGCATACAGAGTGTATGATGGACAGAGTTTTCTCAGGCTTTCCAAGTGTATTCCAGTAACTGTAGCTGTAATGGACAGGTGATTACAGGAGACAGGAAGAAACATCAGCGGTGAGGTGAAGCTGATCACTGGAAATACCAGAAAAATTCTCATTTTTGCGTTTGCATATTTATACCTCTTCCTTGACTGTCAGTCACAGACCAAAACGCATCTTCTCCCCAAAAACTAGCTAGTAGATAGTGTACATTTGCCACAAGGAGCTGAATGAATTACGAAGCAACACGTAGCTGCTTAGTGTCCCTTTAAGCTTTTATCGTAACCCTGAGAGTGTCACTTGAAAGAGTCATCAATATTTGCAAAAATGTCCAGGTCTTTTTCTGTATACATGCTACTATTTCTTAATCAGCTAAGGAAATAATCAGATTTCTTTGATAGCAACTGAAATTCCTCCAGACAAATTCACAAAGTCTCCGTATCCAGTGAACTGATGTGTGATTTGATTGATCGTTGCTTAGCAAAAAGAGAAATAGATATTTTTCATTGTTATACAGCTAGCAATTATAACTTGAGACTTCTCTGAAGTGGTGTTTTTGGTCAACTGAACATTCACTTTGTCATTTAAAAGAAGAGTGAATAAGCAGTTATTTTCAACCCAGGAGAAGCTGATGATATTGCCTTAATGCTGTTTAAACTTCTGGTGACCTAGTATTGAAATTGCTTTCTACATTGTATTTTCTTCAGGTCCACCCTCACCTACTAAAACTGCCAAAGGGGTGAGTATTAGTGATGTATTTGATTTTGTTTGTGATGGAGAATATTCAGGGGTTTTTTGGTTGCAAAACAGACTCGTAAATATGGTCTACTTAACATAAAAAATTCCTTTGAGTTTTTCGAGTTGTTTGATGGAGGTAATGGATGTCTCTCTTCAAGGATCAAGAATGCAGCAAAGGTCTGGTATGATGATAGGTGTGGTATTGTTGTTTTGCCATGATTTTAAATATGACATTACCACTAAAGTTCTATCGTTATTTCCTTTTTTTGCACTATACTTGAAATTGCTGTCTGTTGCATGCTTTCACCTGCTTTTGTAATCTCATCTCCTCTGGATTTTAGTCCCTGTGATAATCTGCAAGATGATTTAGCAAAACCATGTCTAGTTAGCTGGCACATATTCTTTGTCTTAAGTAACTGCTGTCAGAGTACCCATTAAAAGGGAAACAAAATACAGTAACAGGTGGTTTTTTTCATTGCTAATTACCTGTATTAAAGTGAAATGGGATTTCTAAAGGAAGTTTACAGTACTCAATACTTCTCAGTCCTCGCATAGAATTAATGGACTGATTAGCACTCCCTTCTTAAAATGCTTGCTTATCTTTGAATCTGTATTTTTGTGAGGTCTCTATGTAGCTGTACATTTCTAGTTTAATACTCGTAATTCATGGAAGTTTGATCTGTTGGGGTATCGGTAATATATATTACCTCAGTAAAGAATCCTTGGGCTTAATAAAATACCCTCTGACTTGATAATGCTGATAGTAATGCATATTTCTGTCATGAGCACTTCTTTGATGAATTAGGCGAGTTGGTGAGCAGAGCTGGTTCTTAAAAAATGTTTCTTGTACAGAACAAATTACTGCATTTTAGGAAAACCCCGTTACCAGAATGTAGATGTAGCTTCCTTTTCTATCTTTGTCCTGCTGTTTGAGTATTGGAAGTCGTATCCCAGCAGTGGGATAGTGTGAGTGCACAAGTTCAGTGCGTTTGGAACAGACTGCACTCAACAAGACTTGCAGATTCCATTCCTTGCAAGCATACAGCTGCCTGCACTAAATAAATCAGTGCATAAATCTCTGCAGTTTGAGCCTTGTCAGTGTGACTCCCATGTCGGTGCACTCTGTGCAGGCATGCTAAAAATACTTCGGACTTGGGCACTGGCATTCTAGCACGCGTGCAGTGGCGACTTCCCATGGAGCACTCGATGTTCAGTGGCATTAAGCAACATGGCAAAATAATTTAGTTTAAAAGGGCAAGTTCTTGTCTTTATAAACATGCAAGAAGTGTTAAACTGCTGAATCGCTTGGGGGAGTTTCCTTCTACTCTTTGTAAAAGGGCATATCTAAGTCTCTTCTGCTTGTGCTTTTGTTTAATGTGTACAGACGCATGCAGACTACCATTTTCTAGTTTTCCAGGTTGGGTTTCAGCCCAGAATAAGTATTTAGAGTTACTTCAGTGCATAATCGGTTGGAAATTAGGGTGAGAGACCACAAAGATGCTTGATGTCTGTTCTTCATGAAATAGTAATAGGACTGTTGCAGCTGTCAGATCATTGAAAAAAAAATGCAGTACTGAGTTACTAATGCCTCATGCTACCCAAGTGTATTCCTCCCGTTCAGTATTTATAATGCTGTTGGGATACCTGCAGCAAACAACCCGATGCTAGGCACACCTCAGGCGCTCTTGTTTGGACGCGGTTTGCCAGCGGGCAGGAGGCAGTGCCCGTGGTGATGACCTGGCAGTCCAGAACCTGGCAGGTGCCTGCCAGGGAATCGGTCTCTTCTCCAAATGTGACCGGTCCTATATGCCCTGCTTCATCCCCTGTGTCGGTGACCACCGGGAGGTGGCTAGCTTTACTCATTTCTGAGCATCAGTTACTTCAAACCCCCTTTCTAAGTCCAGTCTTCAGTAGAAATCTGTGGCTTGATGAGGAAGACTTCAGTAGTCCAGTCAGACACATATATTGGAAAAGCTACCTTAAGTTGTAGTATTCCCCTATTCCCTTGTTTTGCCCTGCATTTCGCTTCTGTGTGGTGTTTATTGTCTTTGCGCACTCAAGTAGACAAGTTCAGTTATGCTTTTGATTTAATAGGGATTTTTGGGGGTGGGATCTGTTTCAGAAGGACAAGCAGGACAGTTCAGGGAGTTTGGAAGCTGTTGGTGATTCCATCCCACAGCCAATGCCATTTCCACCCACTGCTGTACGACCAGGCTCTCCTAAACTGGACCCTTCAGAAGTCTACCTGAAGTCTAAGACTATGTATGAGGATAAACGTGAGTACATCAACTTCAACTTGGAAATTCTCAATTATGAAGGAATATTATCATTGTCATATGTGTGGTAAAACTGCTGTGACTTTCTTACTGAGTTTGTTAACCTCCTGTAGATAAAATATTTCAAGAAATGTGTAATTCATACAGAAATCGGAAAACTGTGGAACACCTTTTTAAAAAGAAGGTACAATATGTTTCAATCATATTTATGATAAAACAGTTAATCATAGAAATTGTCTCAAGGGTGATCTAGGTCTGAAGTAAACTGAAGTAGACCTGACCATTTCAGAGTTTATAGAAGGTAGCTCTTACAGGCTGGCTTTTATCCTGGCCCACTGTAGGAATGCAGCTGTGATTCCTCCTTCGCCACGTGTCAGTCTTTCCTTTTTCAGCCTTTTCTTGAAACTTTGTTTTTCCATTTTGGAAAGAGAACTTCACTGAGGATTCGCCTGTTTGAATTATTTACTGTATTTGTGGTTACTGTGTTCTGTCGATAAGAAGAGTTAGAATGCACCACCAAAGCGTAAGCTTTCAATAACCAAAGATAACTCCTTACATGTTTTGAAATGTTGCTTTGTCTTAGCTCCAAACACAAGAGATTTGGATGTTTTCCTGCGAAAACAAGAGTCAGGCTTTGGTTTCCGGGTGCTTGGAGGGGATGGACCAGATCAGCCCGTAAGTGAAACTGTTTATGGTTATCTATGTGCTATCTTACAGTATTACTGCTAGAATGACTCCTACTCTGTCATCCTCATTTTCCTCTCATTCTAGACTGTTCAGTGATGGCAAAATTGATCAATTCAGTAACTGCCTTTTAAAGATCAAGGATTGGTTCAGATTAACTTCTTTTTTTCCCTCTTCGTGACTGACTTTAATCTGCAAGGCTCCCGTGCCCTTTCCACTATCTAGAGTCTGTCTTTGGCAGCAGTTTTGTCTGGCAGACTGGTAATACTGTTGGTGTTTCTGTAGTTGTTCCTGTGTCTCAGGAGCACTGGAAAGTGCAGTGCTGGCACCCAGCCTTTGCCAGTTTCCACCTGATCCCGATGGTGGTCTTGGCACAAAACGTGCCCTGGTAATGCCCAGTGTGCTGTGCACGTCGGCGCATCCTGGGGAGCAGATGAGTGGAAGGAAGCAGCTGCTTACCCTGCAAAAACTCTGTCAGGCCATTCTTTTTAATGCAGCCCAGTGAAATGAGGCAAGACTTGGGATTGTGTCATACTCCTTTTCCCCCACCTCTCCCTCCAAATTTTTAAAAATGCATTTTGTTCTGTCAGTCAGTGTGCTTTCTGCTGGATCTGTCTCAAGGAGACAAAGCACAACCTTTCCAGTGCACTCTTCCAGGCTTTTATTTGCCTTGTGTTTTTCCCTCTCATCACAGAAAATACAAAATGTAGTACTTCAGGATTTTCATGAAAGCCTTGAAGCAGAACCTGTTAAGGCTGACTTCCTTCTGCAAATAAATGTTGGTATTGTTTTGTATTGTAACTGGCATCAAAATGTAGCTCTGATGTTTGCACAGGAGGAAGAATACTAGTTAGACCGTGGTTTGCTTTAACCTGGTCAGTGACTAGAGTTCAGTTATGATTTTAAATCGTCAGTGTAGTCCTGTTTCCTGGCCTCAGCATGTGGAGCTGTTGCAGTTGGACTTGGATGAGACTCTGCTTGAGAGGTAATTGCCAAGGAATAGCGGAGTTGGAGGCAGATGGGCAAATGCCAGTGTGGAAACCCCTGGGTAGTCTGTCCTCTGATGGCAGGCGTCAGGAGGCTCCCCTCTATTGCCAAAAAGGCAAAAGTTTTTCTCTGGGAAGAAGTGCTAAGACTTGTACCGTATGTCAGGGGCTGTTCCTTCAGCTGTCAAGTTAAGAGGAAAAACTTTTGGAATAGATACTCATAGGTTGTTTTCTGGTTATGGTTAAGGAATACTTTTTTTTCCATTCACAGCTGCGATCCAGTGCTAGCCTTTTTTTTCTTTCTTTCTCTCTCTAACATGCATTTAAAAAAAAAGGAAGAGCAAAACCAAAGGATTTTACTTCTGTTGCACTTTATTTGCATTTATTTCCATAACAGCTGTTGGTAAGTGTCAAGCTAATCTTATGAATGCTGTGTACAGATGATCTGCCCACCATTGCTTAACCTCCAACAAGTACTGGCCATAATTAATCTTTAGTTTAGCCTGAATGTGATTCTAGCGTATGAAATAGTGTGTGGTGTTCTTATCTGTGTTATATTTAGTAGCACTTTATGAGATGGGGGTAGACAAAATTGATAAGAGGAGTGCAGTGGTTTGAATTCATTATCTAATCACAAAAAGCTGTGCACTGAAGAAACTTCAAGCATGGAACTATCTGAGCACCTTTTCAGAAGTAAATTTGAGTTCTTTCGAAAGCTTTTACTTCTTCCCCAATCACTCTGGCCTAGTCTTGGTTAAAAAAAGAAAAAAAAAAAAAAAAGAAAAGAATAAGTAGAATGAATGACAGAGGCTTTCATTTCAATAGTGTCTGGGAAATCATATATATGTAATAAGTACACAGTATATACTTATGTCAAAAGTTGGGCTTTTTAACAAACTGATAAATATGCTCAAGAGATGGTGGTACTTCCAGAATTCATGGAAATAAGGATTAAAAATCCCCCAAAACTTGTTAGTGTTTGCTTTGAATGCTTTGAGCCCCCAGATTGTATCCACTGAGTCAGCTTGTGCAGAGTACGCTTGCTGACTGTGTTTCTGCTAGAACTGAACAGTCAGATAATCTTTAAAAGTATCTTCCCAAAAGCCCCCATCTGTCTAGATTCACCTGGGTTCCAACCCTTATGTGTTCTGTTGAGTTCATGTTCTGCCATTGAAACCCCCTGACTTTGCTCTGCTGACAGATTTATATTGGAGCCATAATCCCGTTGGGAGCAGCAGAAAAAGACGGCAGGCTTCGAGCTGCAGATGAGCTGATGTGTATTGATGGAGTCTCTGTTAAAGGGAAGTCGCACAAACAAGTTTTGGACTTAATGACCAGTGCTGCACGGAATGGTCAGGTGCTGCTGACAGTCCGGAGGAAAATCTTCTTTGGTGGTACGTGTCCTTCTGTCCAGAGAGGGTACTGCATGGGACAGATCTGGCTAAAGGAACACTTACTTTTTGTAATCAAATTGACTAAAGCTTCTCTGAAACTTATCAATTATTTCAGTAGAGCTGAGCAGCCTGAGATTCAGGAAGGTCAGCTATAATTCTGAGTAAGTGGAGAAAAGCAGAATTTAATAAACTAATGCTTTGGTGCTTGCTGGTTTGCACTGCTCGCACAGGTAAGGCTCTGAAAATTATCATGACAATGGTGTTTTCTTCAAACCTTTTTGCAGATATTAGTTAGAACAGTCACTAAAACTATGCAAATGGAGTAATAACACAATCTGTTTTCTGTACAGCATGCTGTATTTTCAAGTCTGTTGGCAAGTCTTTTGTAGCAAGAATAAGTGCATTCAAACCAGAGGTGATTCAGGGCAGCATGTTGTGATTCTGCAGTTTTAGATCAGTGTCCAGATCAGCAGTTACAGAAGATTATTGTCTTTGACTCAATGACGCTGATCATGTGAATGACAGAGCTGGGATGGGGTTTAGGAGAACTGATAACGATCCCCTGTTCCGATTAGCAGCCAGTATTGCTTTTCCATTGCATTATTCAACCATTAAGTCTGAGTATATACAAGTAAAAGGAAAAAGTATTTTTAAGATCAATTTTCAATTTCTTTAAGGTGCCTTCTGGTAGAGAGGCTGCTTCAGAACCAAAAGTTTGTAGGTTTCCTAAAAAGAAAGCTTGGCTTCAGTCTTCAAACTGCCTTTTAAAGAACGTTTTCATTGTCCCAAGTAAACAGTTGCTCCTCACCTAAGATAGCAATAGTTGTAGTTTGTAGCTGGATCTCTGCTGTAGATCTTGTACTTGTAGCATGCAGAAAAGCCATGATGTCTTTTTTACTAAAAAAGGCATCAGATCTCTCTGACAAGGTTTGTGTACACAGTGCCCAGTTTGTTCAGCTGCGTGCAAGCAGCAGGCTTTCCTTGCATAACTCTGCACACCTGTGTAGGACTCTGGGCCTTTGAATGCTTTATCCTGCATCTGATTTCCATTTGATCCAAATTGCATTGTTAATAAACTCACCCCTTCCTTTCCCAGACAGACAGTGTTTCCTCATGCTGGCACCAATACCGAGATGTGCAGTTTTGCTGTAGTTGCTTGGTTAAACAGCAGGATTGTTTTTTTCCTTATTTGTTGTTTGTCTGTTACCTGCAAGGGGAAAAGCAACCAGAGGAGGAGTCGTCGCAGCCTGTCTTGACACAAAACGGCTCTCCCCGGCTGAATCGGGTAGAGTTTGCAAACCAGCAGTCCCCAGAGGTCTATGATGTCCGTCTGCAGCGGAAGGAGAATGAAGGATTTGGCTTCGTCATCCTCACCTCGAAGAACAAACCTCCTCCTGGTGGTAAGTGCTCTGTTCTGGCAGTGTTGTCACTGCCCGGCCTCTGCTGGCATTAGCAGGTGTGAGCAGGGCTGCGGCTTCTTCAGGGATTTCTTTCTTTGATGTACAGCACTCTGCGTAGATATTCTCATCTTTCACTCACACCATTTCACAGCTCAACCACCTGAGACTTGGTCTGTCTTGCTCTGTTTATGCTCTTTTTCAGCTAACTGTCACATAGTGGGGAGCAGGGGGAAAGTATATCACACGCAACCAGCCCATACACAGGAGCGTGCACTTGTCACAGGGCAGTCTTCAGGACATAGATAGTTGTCAGGCTGTGGTGGTGATGTAGATTCTCACACTGCATTAATTCATAGGCATTTTAATGGAAGTACAGTTTCAATCTTGGCTTTATATTACCTAATCAGGTAGAATTTCTTATTTTGGGGATCTGAGAAAGTAGAGACTGCAGTACTTGGAACAAAGCAATGAAGTTGTTCTTGTCGGACAGATACGGTGTTTGTCTAGAAAGATCATAAAAATTAAAAGGTAGTTTGCTGTGGTATTACGGTTTTGCTATATGGACATGGCTTCAGGCATAGTTGTAAAGATAAACAGCAAAATAACAAAAGTTAAAAGCAAAAATAAAAAGAAATAGTGTGAGCAGAAGTGAATGAGAGAAGCTGCTTGCAGGAAGCCCTGGAGTCCAACTCAATTAATGGAAAGATCTGTGTCCCCCTGCACAGGAGCAGATCTGCTCAGTGTAATCAAGTGCATTTGTATTCCTCATGCTGATGGCTGCTACTTACCTAGCAGTGCCAGGGAGAGGCTATTGAATGTGTTTTTGCATGAGGTGGCAAGTAGGATCATCTTTCTGAGATTCATTCCCTTTGGGCCATCAGGTTTGTGTTATCTGTGTCAGCCCTCAAATACAAGCCAGCTTAGTGTGTTCACCCACAAACTCAGTTCACTGACATTAAGATACAAATGACTCCTGAAGTCCTTACTCAGTTCCTTTAGTTCCTTAATGTAAATCACCCTTCTGAAACTTCCCCAGCTGGTTCCAGACAGACATAATGATGGCTTGAAAGTGTGTCGGTTTCTTATTGAGCCTTAGACACTTTCTTCTGTTTTTACACTTCATTTCACTGCACAATAAAAAAACTGTTTCTAAATAACATTGTGCTGAATTCATGTGATAAATATTTAGAGTCTGATGCAGTCTTGGCTCAGATGATAACTTTTCAGGAATGTTAAAGCCAGCCACTCTGGAAGTACCTGGCGTGGTGGGATGGCGTAGCGGCAGTGGTCCAGGTGCGGAGCTGGTGCTGGGTTCCCGTGGCAGTGGCAGGGCGAGCTGTCACACTCGGTGCGTGATGCTGCACAGATGATTGTGTCCCACCTCAGAGTGGCTGTGGGTTGACAGCGTATTGTCTGGTCAGTCAGATGTTAAGAAAAAAATACTACAATATATCGGTATTCTGTTACAATATAACTGTACTAAAGACAACATTTTTGTCTGAGGATCTGGTGCAAATCCCTGTTTATTTAATGTTAGAACTGAATCTAGAAGACAACTGAAACCAATTCCAGTGCTGGAAACATAAGCACTGTGGTCCAGGCTGTTTCTAACACATAGGAAAAAAGAGATGCTGGTGCGTCCACAGGCTGTGCTGTGCAGAACTTTTCTGTGCCACGGTTTAACATGAAGCTACTGTGTAGTTCTAAAGCCAGGATATTTTAAACCAAGTAATGAGCAATTGACTCTGCAAGCCTGTAGTGCTTTACTCTTAACAGTTGGCTCCTGGGTTTATATAATACTTAAAAAACCAGTCTATTAAGGGAAATGTAAATAAAATTTAAACTCATGGTAAATGCTAGAAGGCATCAATGTCTGTTCTTTTGCAGTAACTTCTGCGTGTGCTAGCTCATTAAAACAATCCTTGATGACTTTTTAGTGTTTGGTGGCTGATGCTGTGGAAGTGTTTCAGATTTGCTGTCATGGTTTTGAAAAGCCAGCTGATAATCCTGGCAGGCGTGTAATATTCCACACCTCTCTGATCCCTCAGAGAAAGGCATGTTTGGGAGAGCAGCAACTACAGAAAACAGGTATCCATCAAACCTGAGTCAGGCTTTGGAGAGGCAAACAGGCTTTTACGTGAAGTACCAGGAAGAGCATTTATGAAACATGTCGAAGTCAGTCTGAAGAGGTGTTTGGAAATGAGTTATAAAGGAGGGGTGCGGCAGTTCCTGCACAGAAGAGCCCTGATAAGGGAATTGGGAAGGACAGGAGCCAATTTTGCTATGCTTTTGGGCATCCAGATGAATGAAAGGCTGTTTTAGACGCATGGGAAAGCATGCTGACTGATGTGCTTTGATGTAATGTGAATCTGCTCTGTTGAGGCTGCGTCAGCACACAGGCAGCTCAACGAGTCGCTCTTTTGCCCCAGGTTTTGGTAGGCTTCTCCCATCGTAATGGCAGCTCGCTGGCTGCCGAGTGCCATCTGCAGTGCTGACGTTCAGGTCAGCAAACCGTAAAACAAGATCTCTCCCTGAGCACCATCGCTGCTCTTTGCAGGGAGAGCGTGGGAGAGCTCTCCTGCAGGAGAGGTGCCGGAGGAAGCGCCGTGCTGGAGGGGAGCATCCCTCCCTCCTTGTGCCTTTTTAGTCCTGCTTGTTCCTGCATCTGTGTTCACCTCTGGGAAAGTAACTAAAAGCAGTCTTTTTTCCTTCTACTTCTCAGAAAATTCCCTCTTTTCTCTGTTCTGTCTTTTCTGGCCCCATTGCTTTGGCCTCTAGATGAGCCTGTATACAGAGCAGAGTGTCATTATGGGATGAAGTGAGGAAACCAAGCTGGGAGAGCTAGCTGAAATTCAAGACAATTATTACAGGTGTGAGTTCGTCTCAGAGAGTGGGAATAGGCAATGGGTCTGTGCAGAGCTGATCTAGCACACCTTGCTGTGCTGCTGGGTGTGCTGAGGGTCACTGCTGAGGTGCTCACTAGGTTACTAAGTCATCTCTGGCAGGAGAAGTTAGATTTCCTTTTGAAGTGTATTTAAGGCTTAATTTTTTGGTTGCCAGGAGGAAGAGTTAACCTGTCCATCCAGATTTCTAATGACTCTGTTAAACTGGATGTCCATAACTGTCTCTGAGGCCACACCGTGCTCCAGGGTCTGTGGGTGAAATGGAGAACGATACGTTATGAGTGGCAAAACAAACTGCTTCAGAGCGCTCCTGGGACACGTGGTCTTACTCATCCCTTTGCAGATGTGACCCATTTCCTTCCCTTGTTTTCCTTTAGGCACAACACCTTGTGTGTGACAAGGCTGTGCTGTCAGGGGTTGGTGTTTCCAATTCACTCTACTGAATGAAGCATTCTTCATTATTTGCAGGTTTTTCTTGTACTAGCAGTGCCGCCCTTTAGAACAGGAGTGGTCTCTGGGATGACTGTGGCAATTCTGGGTCTGTATGATGCTTATCTGACATGAATATTAATTGTGTTGCTGTGCCTGTTCTTCGATTTCCTAGTGATTCCTCACAAGATTGGGCGAGTTATAGATGGGAGCCCAGCCGACCAGTGTGGGAAGCTGAAAGTGGGAGATCGCATCTCAGCAGTGAACGGTCAATCCATCATTGAGCTCTCGCATGACAGTATAGTGCAGCTGATCAAGGACGCGGGCAACGTGGTGACTCTGACTGTTGTGGCTGAGGAAGGTAAGGAGGGTGTGTGGCCCCAGCGGGTGGATGGGTCCTACCACACTGCCGAAGTCTGGTATTTGTAACTTCTGGAGTTAATTCACTTAAAGTGGAGTATTTTAAGATGTTTGGACATTAAAGAAAAGAGAGTAAAGCTCATCCATTTGCTATGGAAGAGCTGAATACATGGTAAGCAGAAAAAGACAGCTGCCAAAGGGGTTATACTGAAAAATAAGATACAAGTATTAACAACACAATGCAGGGTAAGAGAAATTCTCACAGTTTCTCAGGTGAGAGAGACTGCTGCTCGCATGGAAACTTGTCCTGTCCAGACCTTGCATTCTTCAACCAAAGAGAAATGACCTCTCCTGGGGAAACTACAGCAGTCATGGGATGATGCTTAGAGAGAAAATCTTCTTGCCCCTGGACAGTGCCAGTCTCTTACTGCTGTGGTCACTGCCAGGAGCTTTGTTGCAGATGAGGCAGGTGCTCCTGGGATGCTCTGGAGTGGTTCTGCTGGGCAGACCTGTGGTGCTCTAAGGCTGTAGGGACACCTGCTTTCCAGATCTGAGTTTTTCCTTCCTACTGTGTTAAAATAAACAAATTGCCTGATGCTGCATCCCTGGGATACAACGGAAACATCCACTAGTTCCGTCTGCCAAAACTACCCTTTGAAAAATGGTCACATCCCACCATGAAAACCTTGCTCAGGGTTTTCCTGCAGAGCCTCCCAGGCTGCTAGCAAATTCTTCACACGCAACTGCTGTGTCATCTGAGCAGCTAAGTGAGTATTTGTGAATGCAAAGTCCTATGTTTAGAGACCATGTTTTTAATCAAAGCTCCCATGCAACACTGCATTCATTATGGTATTGTTTCCACGCAAACAGTTCACTATAAATATGTAAAATCCAATCATTTGAAGAGAAAAGCAGTTTTCTAGCCCTGCTTACCACTGCATTTTTCTGGATTGCTGCTTGTGGGTTTAATTAAACTCGCTATCATTATTTTGCCATAAAGTTGGCTTTCTTCACCTTTTAAGTAATAAATACCTAAAGCCAGAATGTGAGTAAAGCCAACAGATGACTCTAATTTCACATTCATTGCAAATATTTAGCATGCTATCTCAGCCTGTAATACAGAATTTCAAAGACTTAATTTTCCTTTTGGTTTATGTTTGAAGCAGAGAGACTTCTATAAATTGTTATTTTTCTGTTAAGATTTTCATTTTTACCAAATCTAATTCATTCCAGTTTGAAGGGACACACCTCAAAGCAGTTACCCAGGGCAATGTTTTATGATGCAACTGAAGTTTGAGTTGGTTGCATTAAGAGCCCCAGAGAAACAGATCTAATCAACTTTGTTTTCAAAATAAGCTTTCTGAATGTAACATTTTTGTCCCTTATTTATGCATTACTTCACCTGGACTCTGTGTAAGAACTTTTCCCACTTCCTCAGTTACAGGTTTGGAGCCAAAATGTAGAGATAAAACAAGAACCTGAGGAGAATCATCAAAGAGAGGGGGAAAGAAAAAAGTCAGTATTGGATGATAAAATTAGACTGAAGAGAGCAGTCAGAAAAGATGTGTGGCTTAGAGGAGCTGGAGTTAGCATGTTTCAGATGTAAAAAGTTTTGTGACAAGGAAGGAGAGAGAAGCAGAACCTGTTCCGCCAAAATGGGAATATATCACCACTTTAAAATTCTCCTTGATATAGGTGGAGAAATACAGTTTAGCTCACAGCATAACCCTCCGTACAGCAGATTCCCATAGAAAGCCAGAGTGGATGTGAATTAGTCAGGGCTTCAGGCGTTTTCCCTCTGGGTTGCAGGGAGGTAGCTGAGCTTCACAGAGATGGTTCACAAGACAGTGGTTAACACGGAGGAAGATATAGGATGCAGCTCCAAAGAGTAAAACACCCATTTTGCCAGAAGCTGTTCAGCATCACAAAGCATAAACCTTAATAGAGTTTGCTGTTCCCCAGTGCATCATCTTCAGTGCTGTCCTCTGAGGCCGGCAATGAAAATACTGCCTTGTATCCCTTCCCTTTTCCTCCTAGCTTTCACAGATGTGTGATCTTTGCTTTTCATACGAATAAATGAATTCCACTTCATGCGCCAGAAGACATTCTTTAACATTTTTCACAAAAGCAGGAGCCTGTCAGCTTTTGTCATGTATTAGCTGGAAACACAAGAGAGCAGGCTGAAAAGAGGACTGGAGAATTTGTACAAACAGATGGCGTTTTTCTTGCCTGTGCTTCTAAATTAAAACTCTGACTATAAACCAGGAGTAAAAGTTGACATTTTGTCTCTAGAGAAAAAAACCTCTTTAAGGCATGTCATAGTTACTGCACCAAGCAGTCCTGTGAAGGACTTGAAAGGTCTCGCATACCTGAGAAACTCAGTCTAATAAGATCCATTATGTTTTCCTTCCCTTAAGATGCCTGAGTGCATTGTATATTTTACTGGGGTTGGTTTGTTCTTAACTGAGAAATGCAGTAATGTGATGCACCTAACAGAGGACTAGAACATCTCTAGTTTCGGTGCTTGGGATTTTTTTTTTTAACCCTTGTAAGGAAAAGAAGTTTATTAATTTATAATTCAGCATTTAAGTTCCTCTTGGGCTACTACTTGCTATTTCAAGTTCTAGCCAAGAGGCAGCTTTTTGCATAGACTATGGTTCATTACTCTTAAGTGACAGAGACATTTTGTATCCCAAAACATTTTTTTTTCATAAATGCACTGGATTTATTGTAAAGTGCACAATCGCTGTATTTTGTGTGCAAGGGAAAATAATCTCAAGCTATTTTAAAAGATTTTATTAAAATGACATTATACTTTAATTTTTACTTAGCCTTTGGGGAAAGGTGAAACACTTCAAAATTGTCATTGATAACTTGTCAGTGAACTAGTCGCTCCAGTGTGGTTGTGGGACCAGTTCATAACCTTTCCGATAGCTGGCTGGTAGCAAACTTTCAGTTGTGCCTTAAATAGTTTCCCTCCATCATTAGAGTCTTTGCCTCTGAATCCTCATTGCCCCTGCGGATCCTCATTCTCCTCTTACCTTTAAAAAGGAATATGTTCTCAAATGGACGTTCTTCATCTCTTACAAAATTTTATTATACTGACTATCTGAACCAGCTTCATGGATCGGACTAGCCCTAATCCCTTCTCATCTTTATCGACTTGTAGACAGTCTAAAACCCTTCTGTTCATGTCTGATTTGGTTAAAATTGTGTTGTTTTTCTGAAGAAAAGCAGCATAACTAAGAATAAAATTCCTAGTAATTTCTTCTATGGAACTAATGAACTGCACTTGGGTTCCTTATTTATGGCCTTAGACCCTGGAAAATCCTCTTCATCTTATGACTGTGGTGAGCTCAGCTAAACCTGAGATGCGGTGGCAGCAGCATCCTTAGGAACAGCAGACACAGCGCTGATGGTCACTGTGGTCTCGCAGTGAGTATGCCTACCTTTATATTCGGGAAGTTCTCCCTGACCGTGGATTTTGTTTGAATTTACTAGAACACCGTGGTCCTCCGTCAGGAACAAACTCTGCCAGGCAGAGTCCAGCTCCGCAGCACCGACCGCTGGGATCAGCACAGATCAACCCTTCTGGCACAGACAGGTACAGAGCTTTGGGGTTTGGCAAAAGGAACTGAGAACAGCTAGAAAAACTTGACCAGAGGGATTGTTAACGCAAAGGTAACATCCACATCCTTTTACCTCTGTGTAGGGGAGCTACGGAAGGTGAAGCTGGAAAAGAAGTTCCAAATAGTTACAGGCTTTCCTGGCCCGAGCATAAGCACTTGACACAATCCGATGCTGGCATTGCTTCAGTTATTGGTAGTCGTCATTCCCAGGTACAGGTAACCGTCCAGGGGGTGTGGAGACATGCAAAACACGTCAAGACACTACAGTGACATTGCCATGGAGTATTGAAAACAAGAACAATAAAACATTTCCCTGTCAGATATGGATAGAAAAGTTGCATATAAAAATGCACTAAAGTGTTTCACAGAATGTTTTTGCTAACGTTTTAAACTTTATTATCTCCTTAGTATAGTTGAATACTCATTATAATTATAAAAGAAACAGAAAATATTTGCAGTGGGGCTACTACAGACCCCTTGACAAAGTTTCTTAAAGAAATTTCACGTGTATCTAAAACTTAGAAAAATGTTCTGTGTGTTTAGAGTTCAAATGAAAGCATTACACCTAGTCATACATGAGTTGTGCTGAATTCAGTTTAAATCGTGTATTTCACGTTTCTGAAAATACAGAAACATGTGAAGCATTTTTCCAGAAAAAACAAATGTTTAAATCTGCCTACAGGTCCTCACCTTTTTTTTTCTCTGACTTCCTGCACAGAATCCTGGCTGTTTCCCAGTAGAGTTGGAAAGAGGCCCTCGAGGGTTTGGATTCAGCCTTCGAGGAGGAAAGGAATACAACATGGGCTTATTCATCCTTCGACTTGCTGAAGATGGGCCAGCTGTCAAAGATGGGAGAGTACATGTGAGTTTGTCTTATCTAATAAATTTGTAGATCAAGTTGGCCTTTTGACACATTAATTTACCCATAGTGGCAACAAAATTTGTTTTTTCATGAGTGCAGGATCCCAGCAGGCAGAACAGAATCTGGGCAGCTGCCCTTCCAGCTGTTGCTGTGCAGTGACAGCAAATGCTGTGGTGGTGGGCTTTTAAAGGAGAAATATGTGAACTTCTCTGGCCGTCCAGAATGAACTGTCCGTCCGTGCTTAAGTTAGAGTAATGTACACGTCCTGTGGTGTGAGCAGCAGCTGCTTGGGATACTTTAGGAGCCCAGACAAGAAATTGGACAGTGGAGCAGAAAGCTGAAAGGAGAATCACTGTCCAAGTCAGTGAATTTGTAAGGAACATTTGTGTATACATTGTGCTTATTGCTGTTCTGTGCCATGTTTGAAGAATCAAGCCTAACTCTTTTAACATCATAATATTTGAAATTCTTATGTTTGTGTGAGGAATTCACTTTCAGATACTGTAGTAAAAGCAAAATAGATGGGTACAATAGCAAAGAACGATGATATGTGAGAATCTGTGACTAGTGCCCAGAGCTGAATTTTCAGAGGCTGGAGCATGAAGCTGAGCCGGGTGCCCACGAGATGCTGTCCCACATGCAGTCCTGCTGCTTCGCTGCACTTAGGGCCACTGGCACAAGGCTCTGCCTCCGTTTGTGCTGTAATTGGCAGAATAGGGCTGAGACAGATACTTGCTGGGGCTACTGTGAGGCTTAATTGGATGTGGAATTCTAAGTATTGTTAACTTCTGTTATCCTATTCTTTACAGCAGTTAGCTTTTTTCCCCTCATACTTGAGAGACTACACGAGTGTAGCGTTTAGTACTATTTTCTCTTGTATTCCTCCTTCAAGTGGTGTTACACTAAGCTCCAGGGCTTTTCTTTCTGGGCAAGAGCAACCAAAAGATTCCCAGCTGACTGCACTCTGCTTCGCATAGATGACCTGTGCCAAGCACGGGTTGGTGGGGGGACCATGATAGCAAGCTATTGCTGAAAACACTGCAGCTCCCACATGGACTTCCACAGTGGACCGTGGGTCCTCAGCAGTCTTGCGTAGAGCCCCCTCCCACCACTTGGCACCTTGCAGCTCCCTGCGCAGGGGATGTGTGCATGTAGGGATGCATTCGCTGCGATGGTGGGTAGTCGTGTCCTATGTGAGCCCTCCACAGCCCGTGGCCAGTGCTGGTGGCTGTGGAGGAGCAGGGCCACGAGCACTGTCCCCTCTATGTCCCCAGCAGCTGAGAGCACAGAGGGCTGCGCTCGCCCAGCATGAGGTTATTCAGCATTTCATGTTACTCGGTTTCTCCCTACTCAGCTGGAAAATGGTGTCATTTCTGGCTGTATTTTAAAACAGGGAAGAGGAATTTCTCACCCAGTTAATGACAGCTGAGCATGAGCCTGACGGGAGGCACGTCGTGCGGTGTGGAGCATCCTGTCCTGTCCGATGAGTAACCAGCCAGTGACCTCCTTTGGCAGAGACAGTTTGCTTAACAGAGCGCAGTCAGTCTCTTTAAACTGCTCATTTGATGCAGTAGTGACATCCCTTGGCTGATCCATGTATTGCGACATAGGCTTCGTGACACTTTTACTGGGAGTGCTGTTCCAGCCCCTTTCCAGCAGCCTGCAAAGTTATTGTGAACCGTAATTACCGGCCCAATACCTCTGTAAGTTGCTAATTGGCCTCAGAGACCTTAGTACTGATAACTGCATAGCGGTGATCTCTCCTACCTCGAGCAAAAAATCCTTTCCTTACATAAAAGCTGTTCTGCCATGATAGCATTCAGCTCTGCATTAAGTGTAGGGAAGTTGCTGTGTTACCAGGTTGGTGTGACTCTAAACAGGCACATGGTGCCAGGTTTGACATGGTTCAGCCGTAAACTCCCTCCATACAATGATCCAGAATGAAAATACATTCAAGCACATGGCTGTATCTGTCTCATCACTTGTAAATAAATGGAGGATGTGTTTTAAGTAATCTGAGATCTTTTACTGAGCTGCATGAGGAGCGCTGAACCACCAGAGCGTTGTGTTGCATCATGTTGATCAGCGGCCATGGAATGGTGTTGCTATTGCTGAGTGGATTTTAGCATGAGATTTAAAATAGAAGCATCTGCCTCTACTTTTTTTCTTTCTGAATTAAAAATTAGTTTGCGGTATCAGAGATTCACAAAGACTAACCTCGGTCTTTTCTTGTCAGGTTGGTGACCAAATCGTTGAAATTAACGGAGAACCCACCCAAGGAATCACTCACACACGAGCCATTGAGCTGATTCAGGCTGGAGGGAATAAAGTTTTGCTGCTGCTGAGACCAGGGACTGGCTTGATACCAGATCACAGTACGTCATCTCAAGTGCTGTTTTGTTTTGAGGGTCCAAGGCAATGGAGTACAGTCTGATAAGGAGATTTTGGTGCTTGTTCACTGAAATAGTTAGCAGTTCCCTTTTTGACAGCTGTGCAGGTGTTCGTATTTATTTTAAAATATAAGGAATATTTTTGGTAAAATTAACACGAGAAGTATTACACAGTGTGAAATTACTGCATATTTGTAATTGTAATAAGTTTCTCAGCTCTGTCGAAGCTAATCAAGTTTTCCTATACAAATGTGGTAATTAACACTGATTGCCTTTTAATTTAAATTAACATTCTGTATGATACAGTACTCATTTCAAAATGCCTATATTGTTAATAATATTATTTCTGTACAGATTTACTTCACTGTTTTTAGCCTTCTAAATTACGGAATGCTTTGTTTTTTCAAAGCCAAAACTTAAGAAAGCAAGGAGAAAGACAACTTTGCTCTCAAAATGGATTCTGTTTGTTAAAAGGTGTGTCTTCTGCATCTATAACAGGAAAGCACAACTTTGTAAGAAAGAAAAAAAAAAAAAAAGGAAGGACAGAAAAGCGAATGCTTTCAGAAGCTCTGAGTTTAGCTACAGAGCACAGAACTGATGATTTTGAATCTGATTTAGGAAATGCTCCGAAACTACAAATGAAAAAGACTTGTGGCTGTGGCAGTATTTTAAAGCAAAGAACACTTTCTCTCTGAGTGCACGTTTTAGTCTTTTAACCCTTGATGCTGACATCAAGATTCTGATGGTACACTTCTTAAATTGTAGAGTCGCTTTTTCTGATGAAGACCTTTTTCAATAACAGTGACCAACTGTGAGTTTATCCTTTGACAATTTCAAAACTCAGTTTGAACTACCAAATAGTTGGTTGTGTTCAGTTTACAGGCAGTAACTGGCATCCATTCAAGGGATAAAATCTGCTCAGAACTTTCTCCACTTCTTTACTCCAGAGAGCTAGAAGACGGCCCTTAACATCTTACTGTTCCAACATGCACAGCACAGTAAAATCAGTAAATTAGCGCATGGCACAGAAACAGCCCATCTGTGAACTGCGAAGTCTGTTCTGTGCCGTCTTGCTAGACTCCTGGCTGCCTGGGTTTGTGTCTCGCACTGAATTACTTTGTCGTTAAGGGTGAAAGTTAAATATAGTCTTCCCTGTGTTCTGATGAGCTTCTATTGAGGTTCTCTTTAAAATCAGCATTTACAAGCTAGAAGAGAGAGGGAGGCAGTGTGAGGGCACCTCCAGCTCTTTCCTTACTAGCAGCTATTTAAGCTTGGTATAATTTCAGCAGTGATAAATGGTGTTTGTCCTGCACCACAAGGGCTGCACAGTAGTTATCTGGAATCACTCCTGGCCGTCTTCTTGCAGAAATCTCCTGAGTTTGAGGTAGAAACACAGATTCATAGAAAAGTCGGAAGGAACCTCTGGAGACCGTCTGGTCCAACCCTGTGTCCAAAGTGGGGCCTGAGATTAGATTAAGCAATTTAGATTAAATTAGCAATGGTGAAGAGGGGAAGGGTTTTGTTGCCTCTTGTCTTGCTGTTAATCATACATTTCTGATTGAAATCTTGCTTGCTGTACTCTGTGATTTTTTGGTATGTAGTTCTGGGCTTTTTCTCTTCCTCCTTCAGGTTTGGCTCCTTCCAGTCTGTGTCCCTACGTGAAACCTGAGCAACATTAAGGGCTTTCAGTGCTTTTCTTGGTTTTTCCTTAAAGACTTGGTAAATCTGCATGTCTTGTGTTTCATCTGTTCCTATTTTTAAAGTGCAAAGCTATGAATAACCTCAACTTTTCACTGTTTCCAGTTTTCTTTTACCGTAACAGTTTCAGTTCATTCAGTTTTCTTGTGTTAAACAATGTAGGTCAGGGACTTCCTGTTTTGCAGTTTTGCTATGTAGGCTCTGAAGTTTTGCTGATACCAGACCATGACAGTCCTGCAGAGATCATGCCAGCATTCTAAGCACAAGTGTTTTTCCAGAATCACATCCTTATGGTTGTTGTAGGCTGTAGAACAATGTAATATAGAAAGCTAAGACATTGAGAGTATGCTGCTACATAATCTTTTTTAAATTGAAGATTTCATATAACATCCTGGAAACTCAGTAATGTGCACATTTCTAAAATACTTAGTGATTATTTTTTTGGTAGTCATTTAGTCAAATCTCTCACTGTTTACTTCCAGGTGATTGGGATAGTTACAATCCATCTTCGTCAAATGTAATATATGAAGAACAGTCACCATTATCTTCATCTTCACATTCTGCTTCCCCATCTGAAGTGAGTTATTTACCAGTACCAGGAGAAGCTTTAACAAGAGTTCAGCTGTCTGAGAAACTGGAACAAGCAAAGAACACTGTGCCTGAAAAGATAAGCACTTTAACGGAAAACCAGTTTGAGATGAAGCCTCAGTCTTCTCCCCGGAGAACAAAGAACAAGTGGGAATGTCCCTCCAGCCCTGGGTTTGAAATCACAAAAGGTAGTTTGGAAGTAGGGACCAGAAGAGACAGATCTGCAAGTCCAGAAAAGTTAGGGGCTGCTGAGGGGCACCCTCACACAGGATTCCACAGCCCCAGAAAAGGGGATCCTGAAAAAATCTATGGCAATCATCTCTCACATAAATTTGACAGTTCCAGAAAGAGTGAGAGTAAAACCACAGAAATAGGGATGAGCAATAATAACAAAAATGAGTATTCCAGTGGAAATCAAGGGAGATCTGCCAGTCCCCAAAAGCATCTCAGTAAGCAAGGAAACATAGAAACGGTAGACAGGTTACAAGAATATCAAGATAGAACAACTGGTGGTGATACGATGACTCCTGAGCAATTGAAAGGTGGAAATGGTAAAACAGGCGTTGCCAGGAAAGACATGAAGCAGAAAACTTCTGGAAAAATGGAAGGGTGGACTCCAGAGCGACAACATGCAGCATTTGATGAGAATAATCTTCCGTTCAGTGACTCCAGGAGAAATACATCTGAAGACAAAAAAATAAAGAAGTCAAACTCTGGAGAACCAAGTTCCAGCAGATTCAAAACTTCCAGTCTTTCCAATATTCCACTGCTTTCCATGGAGAAACAAAGAAGGCTAGAAACACAGGAGACTGTTGTGCTGAACAGACAACATGGAGAGAGACACATGGAGCTGCCTGATGAAACCAAAGATGGTGGAATTTCCAAATCGGAGAACAGTTCTCCAGTCAAGAAAACACCGATAACTCCTGGACCTTGGAGGGTACCAAGTGCATGTAAAGTCAGCCAAACAGGAGCTGTGGCTGAAAAACGGGTTTGACCGACACTTTTTTTTAGAACATGTTTTAATCAAGTTTCTAACAATGGTCATTTAAAAGCATTGCTTCTTTTCACAAAGTTGTCATTTTTTTCAGAAACTGGTTAGAGGGTGGAAAGTGTTTGATTTGTTCTTAAATTATCTAAGCTGCATGAAGGACCTTTTGGATTGCTTAAATGAAATTCTTCCATAAGCTGCTGTCCCCTTGTCCTTTTCAAGGCGGTGTTCTGCTGCTCTCAATGTTGCACTGCTACGGCTTTCTCAGATAGTATTGTGAGTTTCTGAACAAAATTATTTAATGCCTATATTGCCAATGTGATCATGACTCACTTCTTGTTCTTGTGCCAAGTTATCTACTGTATCCAGTCAATCTAATCCTTCTCATATGTATTCCAGTCACAGAAAAGGCAAGGTTTTGTTTGAAATGGGTATTCCCTCAAGAGCATGTTGCATGTTTACATAAGGAAATACACATGTTCTTACTAGTTCAGTAAGAAGATGGGTCAGTTCATTCTGTCAATTCTAGGGCAGCAAATGAGCCTCTGATGCTGTTCAATTGATGTTTTTTCTTAAATTTTTATACCTAATACAAAGTCATGTAGATAAAAATTATATTTGACATAATGTTTTGTAATTTTGCTTTTTATGAACACAGCAAAATTGCTTTATTTTCTTGATTCATAAGGATAGTTGTAACAACGGTTTGCAGACATCTGTCTGAAAAGAGAAAATTCTGGGTTCTGTTAAATAACATAATTCCTTTAGTTTCACTTGTGGCACTATGTCATCCTTAGCATTCTTTGTAAACATAAGCAATGAGTGCACATTTATTTTCAGCCTCATTGTGGTGCTGTATACTGAAGTCCCATCTTGAATTATGTAGTGCTAGTTAGGAATTGGATTTTTTTTTTTCCCCCTCTGTAGAGATAACAATTGACCTTTAGGACAGAACCAGCTGCTGTAATAGCTTCTTAAATTAAGTTCCTGCCTGTGTATATTAGAAGTCTCTCATATTTTACTTTGAATGTGTGATCCATTCTGAGTGCTAAATAAGATGATACGCAGGGTACATGAGACTTAATATCTATTGTTTGGGCTAGCATACTTTAAAAAGAGGAATGTTACCACCAGAATCTACTGACACCAGTCCTACAGCTGTAAGAACAGCAGACTGCATAAATTTGAAGGGTTTTGTTTTATTCCTAGTTTTAGTGATAACTTCCTGACACGTTAGGCTTCTAATGACTGCAAAGAAGTGGTAAAAGGAGCCTGTTGGTCCAGTTTGCAGATGGAGGAAGAAGCGTAAAAGGTCAAGCTTTACTTACGTTAAAATTCAGATACAATTTGCTGTCTGAAAGTGAATGACTGAATATCTCATTTTGGCTTTGAAACATTACATGTTTTTAAAGCTTAATGAAGCACAATGAAACAGTTCTGAGTTGAATTCTTTAGAAGTACAGATGACTACTCGAACAGCTTTTTAAACAAAGACTTTGAAAATTAAAAAGGCTTTAAAGCAGATCTGAACTGTGTGCTGCTGCCTGACATTGGATGATCCATTGAGATTTGCTATGTAGCATAATACGTACAAATACTCCACATTGTGGAGTATGACTGTGAAAATATTTAATACTTTGAAGTAGCCTATGTAGATATTAACCGTGTATTCTTAACAAGAGATTCTGTTTTATGTTGCGTTGTATGCACTTCCCCTAACCACTGAGTACAGTAACAAATTCAGATGTTTAATACAGAGATGAATTAGCACCACTGAAATGATTTCCCCCTCATCAACTACCCCTATATTTTTTCTATATGTTAATGTGACCTGATTTAGTGTCTTACCTGTGTGTGATTTCTCCTTCCATAGTACAGATACAAGTTCTTACTATATCAGATGACTTAGCAATGTGGCCTTGGAATGCTAAGCAATGTATGGATGTACTGGGTGTAAATGTTTATATTGTACAGCACCTTTATACATACTTCTGAGGTTCTGACTAGAGAGAGACCTGTAAATTGCTCATTATTTTTTATATAGATATTAAAAAGAAACTCCAGTTCCATGGCCTGTTGGTTCTGCACTGTATAAAATAGATTCTTTGTTGACTTTCAGTGATATGATACTTTGAACAGCTAAATCTATGACCAAGGTTTTACCCACAGACATAACACTCTTCTGGAAAACAAATGCAATTTATTACTGGAAGTTTCCTTGACTCCCTGTTTGAATAACAAATGTTCAACAAAGGTATTATAAAAATCATCAAGTCATGTAGAAACAGTTGTTAATGATGAAATACTTGTACTGTAGGTTTATTTGTACACTGATATATAAAATTGTCATCTCCTTTTACATCTTACAACTTTTCTTCATACAGAAAATAGCTGTAAACAATTTACTACCAAAAATTCTTATGCCATCTTACCCCTTATGTGAAAGAATGAAGCTATGAAAAGCTCCTCAGTTTTTGCTTTTTTCATCACTAATAAATAGAAGATAGTAGAGTCAGTTAAGGAAAATGTAAGTTTAATAGATGTCTTAAAACATTGTTTCTTTCCTGTGCCCTTTCTAAACATTCATCTGTTTTTGGGTGAGGAAGTCTTTGCCACATCTCTTTCACCAAACTGATTTTCACAACAGGTTTATTCCTCAGGTATTGCAGCGTAAGGCACTACTGCAGTGCAGAGCTGCAATGGCTCCCCACACCACTCAGCCAAGCTGGTTGTCAGGACAAGACAGGACAGGATGCCCTTGGGACAGAGCCCCAGCTAAGCGTAACAGAGGTGTTGCAGGGAATGAACATAGTAAAATATTCTGTAGTTGATAAATGCTTTACTTGTTTGTGTTGTAAGGTTGTTCTCAGGTAACTAATATTTTCAAAAATGATTATCTATTTGCAGAAGACCCAGTATAAGCCAACCAGCATGAATCTGTTATTGCTTAACTGTCAACATGGAGGCAGAATGCATCTTGTGCAGACCAAATTTCGCAGTGTCCTGCAGTAGTTCAGGATAGAGGCAAAGCCTCAAGCACACTGAGCTTTTAAGAAAAGAAAGTCTTCAGCACATTCAGATAAATGCATCTAAGTATTATCAGTCTGAGCAGAGTCTGAAGAAAAATTTCAGTGTAGCTCCAGAGCTCTCTGAAAAAGGATGATGCTAACTGAAGCAGGAGGCCTGACTCTTCACTTGTCACATGCAGAGGATTCAGATTTTATAGAAACAAGGCACCTGTAGCAATCATTGGTGTCCCTGCAGTAGGAGCTCTCGCATGGCTTTTAATGTTTGATGCCCCACGCTGTCTGTACATGGTTCCTGCTATTTTTGGTGCCAGCTACTAGTATTTGGCCCCATTACTTCTGTTTTGCTGTGTGTGTATGCCATGGGATGACTTGACTGATTAGACCAGTTTGTTCTGTATGTTGTAAAGCAGAGGGAAAACTTTTGATGCATACACTGAGAATCTCTTTGTTTAAAAAAAAAAAATCGCAGTTACAGATTTCTGTAGTTTGAGAGCACCTCTGCTTGTTGCCCAAGCTATTGGTTCTCTTCTCTGGTCTGTCTGTCTGGTGGAGAGGGCCAAGTGCTGATGTTTGGTCAGTTCACGGTTTAATTTTCCATAACTGAAAAGAGATACTGAGAGTGAGTATGGGTCTGAAAGCTGTAGGTGCAAATGCTTTTCATTGACAGGTAAGACTCGATCTCCTTTGCCTGTCCTGCATTGAATGCTGTGCTCAGCAAGCTCCAATTTAAGTGTGAGCCACAGGAGGACAGTGTCTTCATTCTAAAGGGAAAGAACCCAGGGTTCTGACTAACAGCTTTAAGTGGGCACCAGAGACCTGAACAGGGCTGAAACTTCAAGTCAGCCCTGTCCTTGCCCACCCCCCGCCCCAAACTGGCTCAATTCAGCATGGTCTGTTCTCTGAATTACCACACAGAGGGAGCCTGATTCAAACCCACAACCTTTCTGGTGGGTGGGAGGAATTTGGCAATGGTGCAAAAGTGACCCCTACAAGATGTTGCCTGTTAGTTTGTATGGGACATATACTTACTCTGATATTGAATCCTAGAAGATCACTTATAACACCTGAGACAGCAGAGAGTATTACCACACGTGTTATATTGTAGATTAATGGATTCATGGTCAGTCCATACAGCCTGAATGGAGTATCTAATTCCTGCAGTGAAAG